CTAAGCTACTGCACTGCAGATGGTAATTTGTAACAGTTGTTTCATGATGGGAGTGCCTGTCATTGTGGTATTCTGAATATGGGCGGCTTGTCATAGCATCCTCTATCTAAACCCAACAAAAGGTGACTGAACAGGAAAAATATATACCAAAGTCACTTGAATATAACTGTGATAACTCAAAATATGAATATGCCAATTTTCAGTACCTAATGGGATAATTGATTATGAATGCATAAGGTGCACAGTATAAATTCAAGAATGCTTTAATATCATGAAAGATTTTATTTTAATATGACATATCAGAAGAGCCAATAAAAATGTGATAATCAAAATAGATAAGGTCTTGGTAAAACATTGCTGATTAAAGTCTTAGACATCTAAGACTAGAAATATATTTCTTTAATGAAATAAAAATATTTAACATCCTGTTCTGGCCAAGTTTATCCCATCTTAAAGAAACGAGGTTAGTCCAGATATTTCAGACCTTATGGATCAGTGACTACAATGTACTTTTAAAGAGTATCTGAAATAGCATGCTATAAACCCATAATAATACACTCCTAGTTACTTCGGCTAGTTTCTCAAGGTATTTCCTTCTTGGTATTGCAAAGTATATTCCTCCTTGCTCAGCTTATATCTTTCCAACTTGCCACTATACAGGTGAACCTATTTGGTACAATTCAGGGCCTCCTGCTGTAGATCCAGGGTAAGATAGGACCTCCTTATTACTATTTTTGCAATGTAAATATAAAAATGAGGTTACTTCTAATATTGTCTTTAAATGTTTTAGAATTAGGTGGTTTTACAAAACCAAATCATTCCTTTTGAAATATGTAATAAGAATGTATTCTGATAATAAATTATGACTTTACATTTTGAAACCATGGCTTTTTAAAAAAAAAATAGGAAGAATTACACCTATGGCCTTTGCACTGAGCTACATCCCTAGCCTTTTAAAAAAATTTTTATTTTGAGACAGGCTCTCACTAAGCTGCTGAGTTGCCCAGGCTGGGCTTGCGCTTGTACTCTCTTGCCTCAGGCTTCCAGAGTGCTGAGATTGCAGGTTTGTGCCACCACACCCAGATGTAATGTGTATTTTACACCAGTACTTTTAGATTTTTGTTTACTACAACCCCACAGTAACACTCTGTAGTATATGTTTGTGTAATTAAGTTTTTCTTAGAATTTACCAAGAATTTATGCACAATACTGATATTAGCTATTTTATTTTATTAAAATTTATATTCACCAAATTTTATTTCATAACCCAATACTTCAATTTAATAAGACCCTATTTAAATGATCACATTTTTAGCAGATTTGTGGTCAAATTGTGTTGCTAATATTAACCTTTCATGTTTATAGGGAATGCTTTTAGTTCAAATTACTAGTTTTTCACTGATATCTAGGATATGAGTTTTCTCAGTGGCGTTTTTTTTTTTCTTTCTGCAGCTCTCTCTGCTGTGTGAATATAAGTCTGGAGCATCATAAACCTAAGGACCTCACCATTTAGAATTTGCAGTTTTCACCTTCAACCTACCATACTTTTTGTGACCTGGTTCCCTTCCTTGAAAAGTGGAATTGTCTTTCAAGTTAATCTTGTTGCAGAATTAAACAAATGGCTGATAATAATTTGAATAAAATCTCCACAAGTTGCCCCAGCTGCTCATCTACATCTCAGAAAGATGGACTTTCTTGTGAAGCATGCCTTTCTCCAGTTTTGGTAGTAGAAATGTCACAGACATCAAGTATTGATAGTACAGAATTCTTGTTTCAACCAGATAGAAAAAAAGAAAAAAATATCAGCAGAGACGCTCCTGGGAAAGATTTGGTAAATATTGAAGATTCGGCATGTGAGCACAATTTGGCAACCCATTCTCTTATCCCATTCTTTTCCTCTTGCATGTTCCCTGAGTCCTTGTAAGCTAATTCATTACCTTCTTAACTCTTAAAAGAATACTTTTTTCACATAGACCAGATGAATAAAGTTGGTTGTTAGTTAGATATTTGATATTTCTACCCACTGTCCAAATTAAATATTTGTCAAGATCCTGAGTTATACAGGACCCTGGGTTATACAGAAAAGGGTTGGTTTTCCAAGTTAAATTAATTCTGAATTTTTGAGCACTCTCATCAACTGATGCAGAATGAGATTTATGGGTATCTTTATTAAGATGCATGTTTTCTAGTTATCTGGCTAGAATATCTAACATATTTTATAAGTCAGTTTGCATAGGTTATAAACAACCTTTAGATACCAGTTGAAGTGATTTGTCTGTATTCATCTATATAAAAAGTTAGTATGGAAAGTTATAGTTGGCATAAGACAGAAAGTTAAGAAAAGTCAAATTCTCATCAAAATTAAACCTTTTTCACATTTTACTCTCACCTATTGTGATTTGTATTGCAGTATAACATAGGTGTCTCTGACTGAGTTGTGACTGTTAATTTCATTTAAAGCGCACTTTATGAATGTCTGACCAATTTATATATAAGTGATTAGAAATTTATTTTATGTTTTGAAACAAAGGTGATTGTGGACACTGAAGTTGCCTTCTCTGTTGATTTTAAAGAATTATCAAGTAAATTCTGGTGTATATGTTAGGCAGGTTATTATGTAGACTTGTCTGGTTTGAGAAGATTGGATTGAGTGAGTTCTTAAGGTCTTATGTAGCCAATTAATCATGTAGGACTTAGAATTTGAAAAAGACAGTATGTTATTTTTTAACAGTAAATATCACACATACTAAAATTTTATCAGATGTATCTAGAGTTCTGTATAAATAAGAATAATGTGTCTTAACATTATTTTTCCTATTTCCTTTTTGTCCTAGTCATTAGGAACCTCAGTCGTAGAGAGAAAAACATCTCAACAGCAGTGGGGTCGAGGAAATGTTACCGAGGGCAAAGTTCCTCACATCAGGATGGAGAACGGAGCAGCTATTGAGGTATACAGGGAAAGTGAGATGGTGCCATCAGGCGCTTTTAGGGTTTTTTTCCTAAGCTGTGGTGAATGGAAACAGGAATTTTAAAATCAGTCTCTAGAGAAGTAAAGAAAGGAGAAAATTTCTGTCAAATGTTCTACTAAAGAAAATGCAGACTATATTCTGTAAAGAGGACCAAATGGACTTCAATTCAAGTGGAGGGCATTTTTGTTAGACCAAAGGAGAGCAGTTTGATTCAAGCATCTTGGCTAGTTTTAAAGGCAATTGTGAAATGTTTGCGAAGACTTCTGAAAAATACAGAGGCCTGATGAATTTCTTTAAAAAAAATTTATGTATTTGGTACAGGGTCTCACTGTGCAACTCAGATGTAGTGATGTTCCTGTTTTCAGCCTCCCCAGTGCTGGGATTACAGGCACTCACCATCACACTGGATCTTGGTGACAAGCTCAGCATGCCCAGGGTGGGGCCAGCATGGCATGCAGTACCAGGGATCGAACTTTGGTCTTTGCACTTGCCACGTAAGCGCTGAGACCGCTGAGCTATCTCCATGGCCCCAGATGTTCAGTCATTCACTCCCATGGCGACAGGTCCTGAAGGTTTGTCTTGTGAACCCCTAATCTTTTCCAGATTAGATCACTATCAGCATTATTCTTCCCAGGATTCCAATTATTGAGAGATATAAATTAAGTATTAGAGCCATTTAAAAAAATAAAATGTTTTCCTTTAAAATAAGACTAAAGGAAATGAAGAAAATTGCAATAATGCTAAGTAATTTTAAAAATGGTTTTAGGATATATTTGTCAACTGATTTGAAGTGTTCAGGAAAATTCCTGTCTTAAAAAATTTACGTTTTCTTCCTTTAAATAAAAACTGTGTACTTTTAAAAGTCCAAAATTTATTAAATTTTAAATCCATAAGAATTTTTCTGAGTCCCAGCCCAGGCACAGAGTGGGCTGGACCCTCTCCCAGGCCCTTGGGCCACCCCACCACCACTCCGCAGTGCCTCCCCCACCCCGCC